TTAACAGGTGATGCTTTACTTGAGGGCAGACATATTGTTCCTTACATTTCATGCAGGCTTGTAATGAGGCTAGTATTGTACTGATCATGAAAAGAGCACACACCACACCACACACACAAATACACACACATTCAAACAAACAGAACAAAAGCAGACAGGCATTGTGCTGATTGTTGGTCTCGGATGTTCAGTTGCCTTTAATGCGGTCAGCTGTTCCAATTCAATAAAGCTATTAACAGACACAAAAGATTGAATTCCAGCCAACACACATGAGAGTCATTTGACTCTCATGCTACATTAATGGTCTCACATAGAGAAGTCATGCTTTTAATGTAAAAAAAAAAAAAAAAAAAAAAAAGCCAACCTTTTCTATCTAGACTTTACTATATGCCTTATTCAGCCTGTTCAGTGTTATTTGTTAGACAATTTGACTTTGGATGCCACTTCGCTCGCCATTTTCACTCTTACTTCATTTCACGCATTTTCTTTCATGCATTTACGATTAGTGAACGTTGTTATATGATACAGTTGTAAATCCAGTCCGGGTTGTGTTGACTAATCTGCCAAATTTACAGTGACATCACGTTGGACAGGTTTTTAAATGCAGGTGCTGCACAAAGGATATCTCAATCATGCTTGTGAAAAGACAACTTATTATCGTCGAATCAGGATTTTAAAATCTCACTACTCACACCGTGTGTGTAATTTGTTTATACAGACTTCATCAGCATGGAAGCTTGAGTGGCTTTGAGGTTTGGAGAGCCGGAAAGTCGATGTCTGTTACTGAAACAACAGAAGGCTTTCAGGTTTAGAATGGAAATCAATTCGAAGCCCCTGTAGCCAGTGGTCACAGCAGGAGTGGCCCAAAGGGACACGGAAATGAGAAGTCAGTTAAAGCAAATCAGTTAAAGTGTGCCTGAGCCACGTTATGAGCTATAAATGCGCGTCAGTAGTGGTGGACAATGTGCACTATGACAGGAGTGTAAAACAAGAGGAGTGGGAGTTATATTGAGCCGTCGAGTGATTCGTGAGGATAAAAGTAACCGTGCTGCTGCATATCATTGGGGCTGTTGGTTTGTGCTTGCTTTACATAGAAATGGCCACCTTGTGGTGTAAGTCGGGTCAACAAACAGTCTCTGACTCGTGAGAAAGAGTCGGGCTGTTCAGTAGACTGAAATAAATGAGCCGTTATATCTCTGTCTCACTCTCTCCTTCTCCCCTCAGGTCCTTTGCTCTGTAATTCACAATATCCATAACATCTGCATTTCCATCCACCCAATAATCCAAAATGAGAAGTTTATGCACAGCATATATATATATATATATATATATATATTTTTGTAGCTGTTCCATGAGTGTTGCTCTTATTCCCATGATAAAGAACAAGCTGCATAAAGCTTTTTACTTAATCCCTGGTGTATGACATACATGGAAGTTGTTTTTGTGTTTCAATATTTGTCTACATCTAATAACGGACATTTAATTTTCAGTAAAATACAGCTGCTGTTTTTGTAGGCCATGTTTATTAGACAGCTTTACAATGTTATCATAGACACATGAACATTTTTATTAATATCCTCCCACATCTGTGAGACTCTTGAGTTGCATTAGTCGCTCAAATGATTCCTAGGCTAATTCACAGTGACACACTCGTTCACCTCGTGCACGTGTGTGTGGGGGGGGGGGGGGGGGGGGATTTGATGGCAGATGCTTCAAGTGCTCTCTGTCTCTTGACAGGGACGTTTCCAGAACAATAGATGGCATGTTTGTTAACAGATCCCCAGAAAATTGTGCATTCCCTAATGAAATCCATTATTTACCTAATGGATTTCAGTGCATTGCCTTTTTTGGCCGTAAGAATAAATGCAAGTCTGCAGTGGAAAGTTGGTTGCTTATAATGCAGCTAAACAGACCAAACATTCACAATATGCTGCAAGTCTTTGTTGCTTTGTTACTTGTTGCTCTCTGATGTCTATTTATGGCTGATCCTTTTAAGTTTTCCACTGTTTTTTTTCCTGGTTTACATTCTTGGAGCTGCTTTTGAAACAGGTTTCACTGCCTTTTCTGAGAATCAAAGCAAATATGCAATGTAGCTGCAGTAGCCTCAAGCCTTCTGGCCTTTCGCATTGGTAGGTTAGTCCATTCCTATAGAGCTTCAGGTGTTTGCTTTTCTGGCATCTTTTTACTTCATTTATTTATCCATATAAATCTCGGGCAGAAAGGCCCGAGAACAAAGCACGCTGCTCTGTTTCATACAGCACGCTGTAGCTTCCCTGCTGCTCATCTAACACGCTAGAGGGGAAAATTGAAGATGATTTGTTCAGTAATTACCCCATCCATCACACACTCGCACACGTGCAGACACACGTACAAACACGCACATACACCTAATACCACTGCAGAGTCTGAATAATAGTGACTGTTAATTTGATTCCATAGTGACTGGCCTCAGAAGGATGGATCACCGCTGATGGGTTAGATGTCTGCCACTGCTCCGTGTGTGTATTTGTGCGTGTGTTTCCTCTCTAGAGAGACATTAGCATGGAGTATATAGAAACAGAAAGGCACCAGGGAGCAGTCATGACCTACAGTCTGGAAACGGCAGAAATCAATAGAGCAGCGTGGGTAAAGTGCAAAGTCCCAGATGAATAGGCCTAGTTGAATGTGGGGGAGGAGAGGTAAACTGTAGTGAGTGAGAGTGAGATAGAGGATCCCTCCTCCCTTTTCCTGTACTCCCTTGTGTCTGTCTGAGCCGGTGTGTGTGTGTGAATCAGGGGAAAAGAAGCGTGCAGAAGTGACAGGATCTCTGGCCAAAGTCTTCTGGCCACTTCACGCTGCTGTATAATCTCACCATTAGTCAGACCTGACTGTGGGGTGAGTCAAAAGCTAAAGACTGAATGAAACACAGGGCTTTGGTTGGAAGAAGAGCTTTTATTTTGACTATTCGCTGTTTTAGCTCAGTCAATTCAACAGAAATTTAACAGCGCCACTGTACATCATTGTTGCAGCCTGTTTGTACTCACGGTCAAAGAGAAATGACAATTAGCTTGTGTCCACAGTGTAAGTTGATTCAATTATTATCTTTTCTGACCTTTTTTTTTAAAATTTTAAATCTTTGGCTGTTGACACCTGTAAAGAGTGTGTAAGAGCTTTCCTCTGTTTTGACAATGTGACAGTGCAGGAGCATCACGGACATTTTGATTACATCTGATTTTGATTTGATGATATCTGATTACAAACTGAAATGATTCATCTTATGTACAGTAAATTTCGCTATGGCAAGCAACTATCCAAAAGCACACTTAACTAGGTAGACTGACTGCATTTATTGCTGCATTTGTTAAACCGGCTTCATTCACAAGATTTTTGGGCAAGGTTTCCCAGAATTCAGCAATAGAGATTTCTCTAAATAGAGTTTACAGGTCAGGGCCACAATGTTATATGGTTGTTCTGTGAAGCGCATGTGACAAGAATTTAAATCCAACTCTTTTAATTTGGTCTCCATTATAAGTTTTATTTGCAACTTTGACTAGAGCACATACCCTGGAGTAAATCAGAAGGCTTTTTTCACAGAGCTAGACCTTTCAGCTGACAAGGACAGTGTGTGTGCATTGGTTAACTTTGAGAAGAGACTCAAAAGAAAGAGATCATCTGTGTCTGACAGCCTGATTGGGCACCAGATTGTAGTTAATGTATAATGTATATTGTGAACTAGGTAACTATTCCAGCCTTTCAATAGAAGGTGATTAGCTGGTATAGAGTTCAACCCAGCTGGAACTTTTATTCAGTTCAGAGAAGAGAATTTCGCAACACCCTATGACCTGTGGATTCTCTTCTGGTGAATATCCAGAGAGGTGATGAGACAGGATTTCCTGCTCTGAATCAGCCCTTCTTCTGTGGTGTGAGAGTTCTGTCTACACAATTGCACCATCACATTTTACCATCTGCAAATGTCACGGTGGATCTGATCCATAATATTGCAGTAGCACACAGGGCTGGATAGAAAAAAAGGCTGAAAAGGCTAAAAATGTTTAAAGAATTATAGAAACTTGTGTAAAAATGCTGTTGCTGTGTATGGTGTACAATTACAGCAGTCTCAGGTCTACTCTATATGTATTGAGGTGCATTGTGTTCTTCACTGCACTTAAAGAAAGCACTGTCATGTTATAGCTTCATCCGCTAATGAAATTGACCTGTGTCAGCACAATGGTGTCAGTCACGCTACCAATATGACCTGAGCTTGAGCTGAAACCTGATGCTCTCGAAGTGTGTGCTACCCAGACCGCTGCTCCCAAACTCTGAACATCTGGGACGCTGGTAGCTGTCTTCTTCAGCTGATTCTATAGACAGTGTGATTGACTTGGGGATGCTGAGGTAATGAGTAGGTTTGGAGAAAGGTGATGACTATGAACTAATGGGCGCACAACGTTCATGTCAAAAAAGAACAAGAAATTTCAGATGTAGGCTGAAGTAAATACAAACCAATCTAGCCATATGACTTTGGCATATACGCCCAATTCATAAAGTTAAAAATTACCCTTAAATAAGAACCCAGTATGCAAATAAAAGAGGTTATAAATATAAATAACACAAAGCTGGGTCCGCATACAGTTGACTGCTAAAGTTTACAGCCCTCATGGTTGTTGAGTGAGTGGAAAAGGAAAAATGTACCTCTATTTTAGAATTTATCTGCAAATAATGATTCAGAGATTAACAATGGAACATAGGTGTATCCTCCAACAAGAAAACAGCAATCCAAAACATAAATACAGAAAAATAATCATTTGAAAAGACACGATTTAATGAAAAGGCAGTATTTGACATCTGGCAGAAGAGATGTTTGAACATCATTGATATCAGGAAAAAATGATGAGGTGAATATCACATTTATGTCATTTGGCAGATGCCCTTATCCAGAGCAACTTACATTTATCTCATTTTTTATACAACTGAGCAGTTGAGGATTAAGGGCCATGCTCAAGGGCCCAGCAGTGGTAGCTTGGTGGTGCTGGGGATTGAACTCATGACCTTCTGATCAGTAGTGCAACATCTTAACCATTGAGCTACCACAACTGAGAAGATCCACAAGTTATATAGATGATACTAAAGAGACTGGAGACAATTATAAAGTAATAATAAATTAGTAATAATAAAATAAATATAATAGTATATCATATTCAGAAAGGGAAATGAAAATTTGAAAACGGATATTTGATTTTTTTTGTCCTGTTCATATCTTAACATACAGTAAAGAAACATCTACGAAACATCTATGAAACATTATAAAGAAACATCTATGAAACCTAATACACTAAATGTAATGGTATGAAAACTTCTCTGACTCCTCTTAGGATGACAACAAAGATTCAACCTAATGTACACTCAAAGTGATAAAGCTGATCGATGAACTGTGCCTGACTCTTGACAGATTTGTTGCGTCTTTGGCCGTGTTTTTCCCATGAGCCTCCCAAGAGCTTATTAAATATGAATGTTAGAGTTAATGGGAGTCTCCCTTCTCTTAGCAGCCTGTTGTGTTTAAATCTAATCCAGTGAGAGTAAATTTAATTAGGTTAAAATTAGTTAACAATTTAGCGAGATCGATGTCATATAGCATTGTAGCAGTTAAATAAGCATGCTGTGTTGTAACAGAATGTTGCGTAGTACTGACTGGTGTTTGTACAACACTTCCTTATTTCTAAATAGCATTCCATCAGCATGTCAGGGAGCAGGAAGGAGGATAGAGGAACATACGAACAGTACTTGTAAATAACATATTGATATATGGATATAAAATAAAAGAACAGAAATGTGTTAGGAATTGAGATTGATGATGGGATGGATTGAAAAGTATGAGTCCATTAGTAAGAATTGCTTTTGTTTCATTATCTATCACAGATTAATACACCATTTAAGAATACATTAATAGAATCATAAACAGATTATTTAGCTGTTTGAAAAAGCCTCAAAATAAATTAAAATGTATCTTAATATTCTGGGCACATATGGGCTGCTTTATTTTTTTCAGTTTTCTAATGCAGTATGTTTGAGCCAGATGGTAAGACATTATACATCCAACATAACAGAATTATTTTTGTTGTCTCTCAACACCTCATACTGATTCAGTTAGTAAAGTCCTGTAATGTGTCGAATAACCAAATGCTATACATTTGAATGGAGAAATCATTTGTACAAAACAGATTTTGGTCAGACGTTTGGCTTCGACCGTATGGAGGGTAAACAACAAGTATAACCTTTATGAAATGAATAAACAGGATAGTAGAAGCTACATATGTTTGAGCGTAACCAGGAAATCTAACGTGGTGTGTGTTTCCGCCCTCTCACCAAGTATCATTCCAACTTCTGCATTGCCTGAGTGACTAAGTAGGCATTCAAATTAGGTATTGAGGAAACATACCGTTGTTATGATTCAATAAAACCATGCATACTTGTAATTGTATTGGGCATCCAGTGATGTCACGGGGAACTGAACATGATTTGTAGTAATACAACACCTCAAGTGTTTTAACCAGTTGAAGTGTTTGCAGGCACTTCAATTTTTAACAGCTGCTCCATGCCCATGTCTCCTCCTAGTCTTAGAGTTACATAGTAGAGTATTTCTTACTTAATGGCTATGTGTGTTTTTGTCAGTATTGTAATAATAAAAAAAAAAAAAATTATCCGTATTATCCATATATACAGTTAAAAAAAATGCCTTACCCAGTTGTGTAGCCTAACACTAGAAAATGGTACATTCCCCCTCAGGTCATTTTGGCCCATGCAGGGAAGCTAAGGGACCCTATTCATGCTGGTCATCTATTGCATGTGATATTTAAACCCAACACCCCTTTTTCTTCTCCTCTCTATTCTGTCTCTCTATTCAGCTCAGCATCTGTGCTATCCCTCAGAGACATTATTAGTGGGGGCAGACAGACAGCATGCAAGTGACGTTAGACAGTGGCATCGTTTACCTCCGCCTTCTGCTCTGTGGCATCTGTGTTAGGCACACACACACACACACACGCTCACAATGTTTACCACTGTTCAGAGACAGCTCTGTGGGGTGCTGCTCTGTAGCCCAGTGCCAGCAGCAAAACCCCAAATCTTAGTCCAAATGGACATCTCAATGGTTCAGTAGTGGCAGGGCCAGACATGCTGTCGGGACTCACAAAGCAGGGGCTGACTGTGCTGCTGAAACCTTTCTTCCTGTCTTTTTTTTATCAGACTTTATCAGACTTGTTTTTGCTTCCTTCGGTGAACCCATGGTTTATTTCACTGACAGTGTTTCTCCAATATGATTACGAAATAAGCACCAATAAAATGAGGCTTAGAGAGTGGAGATTGCTATTGGACTGAACATGATTAATATTTACTCAATCAAATCCAACGTTTTGTTTAATGTGATCATTTTTTTATGTAATAAACTGTAGATTATTGAGTGATCTGGAGTTTAAAGTGATCACACTAGCGCTTTAGCAAGACAAACAGTGGTTGTAGTCAGTCAGATTGGACTTGGGACATGTGTCTTTATCTGTGTGTAATGCGTGGATGTTGGTTATCCGACAGCTGCTTGCACATCGGGTCTGTGTGAGCCTTAGTTCTGATTCATTCTCACCTCTATGAGATCTTCACACGTTTAACATTGTGCGAATGTGATCATGATCATGAGTGAGAGAATCTTTTAATGGAACGGCTTTCATTAGTGAGAGTGCAAGACAGGGATCAACTGCCACTAGAATAATTAAATAATTAAAGTGTGTGTGTGTTGAAAGTCCACTTTAAAGAAATAAATATATAAAAACTATATAAATTAATGACTATATATTAAAAAACAACTTTAGTACCAGTCATTTCCTAATGGGTAGCCTTCTGCCCTCTACTGCCGTAGTCTGTGCAGTCAGAGTAGATTCTTGGTTGAGCAATGCATTGTGGGTGTTCTCTAAAACAACATGCAGTTGAAAACCAGACAATAAGCACTTAAGGGTTAGCAGTATCTAGCCTGGAGAGTAATCGCTATTGCAGTGAAAAGATATGTCTGTACAACCCCTGATGTATGAGTCTTCACAATGCAGAGGTCACACAGATGACACTAGAGTACCGTGAGTCAGGGTGTGAGGTCATCATGAATTGCCAAGCTGAGGCAGGAATACTAGACAAAAATAGGGGCAAGAGTTGACAGATGTACTGGACAATCTATTCAGTGTTCCTGCTCAACCTCTAATGCTTTGTGTTTATTTTATGCCATGGTTAGTGTTAGACATAGCATATACAGTAAATGCATGATGCCTGTAATATTTATAGTTGCATGTATTATAGTTCTCTCGAGCATATTATAAAAGTTTAGTTCTTTCAAACAAAATGTTTGAGATTTGTATTTCGGGTTCTGATTTATATGTTTTGAAGGCAAATATTACCCCTAGGAAGTTATAAAATATTGGCACAAAATATATATTTATTAAATGCTCCACAATTTTATTTAATGACGTATATAATTCAAGCATACACAATTCAATTTCCATGCTCCATCCATTTGAATCATCTCCTATAATGCTTGATTCGATTGAAGAACACAGAGCAAGGAATCTCCTGACCTCTCACCTCTCAGTACAGAATCTCTCTTTGTGTATGTAAGGCTGCCAGTAATTCTTGAGCTGACTGTATATGGTCATAACTGAACTTGTTACTCTTATTGTTTTAGGTTCTCAGATTCCAGAGTGGTTTTTTTTTGGTCTTTTTTAGTTCCTAGTTAGTTAATGTTTAGTCAAATATGCAGATTTTTCGCTGGTGTATCTTAATCTTAAAGCATAAAGTTCCGTTTTGGAAGAACAGTAGGGTATATTTCCAACCTGGAGGCACTTTGTGTGTGTGTGTGTGTGTGTGTGTGGTTAGGATGAGTGCCTTGCAGAGTCTGTGAGCTGGGGATGTGGGTGTGTTTGTTTTGGTCTATGTTCACTACTGTGTTGTCTGCGACTACAAGCTGAACCTCAGAGAGCTGACACAAGCTCATTTTGTACTGAAGCACACAGGTCTTTTCCTGCTCCTCCTTCTCCACACGCTGTCTCTCACCCTGGAAAGCTGGAACGCTGAGACAGATATCTGCTCTAATTCCAAACACCTGAATGAATGGAATCAAATACGTCTCAAGTGATTAGGAAAGGCGTTGGCTGTAGTCCACTTTGTTTGCTCCTGTGTTAATTAACATCCTGCAAATGTCTATACTTGGTAGAATATAGGCTTTGAGTGTAAAAGAGAGAGGCATAATGGAAAAAAGTGTGATCCTGTCTTATACCTGCACTCATTACCCAATTCAGAAACCATACACAGTATGACATGCACTGTAATGCTTTTTTCGACTGTCCGTGACATAAAATAGAATTTACATAAACCAGAACTTGTATACAGGTCGAAAAGGAAAAATATAAGGGATATAAAAGACAGGTGGCAGCAACAATATAACTATATTTGGAATAAAGTCCAGATATGTGAAGTTGTTTGTGCAATATAATGCTGTGCAACGTCAATTTTACCTGATCCAATTGCTATATGTATACTTATATTTCATATATGAAAAGGGACCATCATAGGCTCACCAGTATGTAGATATTATCAGGGTAATACACTATTCTCAGCAGAGCAGTGAAGCATGACATGGTAGGTGTATAGTGTGTGTGCCACTGGTACAAGTGAATCAGGCACAGCGTTCGTACCAGTGAGTACATAAAAATGAGCTGGACCTAATAAGATGACAGCTCAGTGTATTTATCATTACCCCATAAATGAAATTTGATATCTGATAGATGCCTGGCTGTTTAACTATTAGAGGAGGTAACTATAGTGGTCAAAATGATATGCCGTATCTAATGGCGACAGATATCTAAACCATCCCGGGGTCCCAGAATGTCAGTCCTGATTAACAAGTGGGAAATAAGAGCTTCTCCCCAAAACCCTAACCTGTTTCAGGGTAGATCTTGTTTTGATCCCCTGTTCCTGTGTTTGAATCCTGAACTTAATGACTGGTGTTGGTTTAGACACAGTGGCATGTTTAAACCTGCTGAAGCTTATAACCTGTCTTTCTG